AGAGGAAAAGAAAATTTATTCTAATACATTCCTGCAACCGATTAGTAATAAATTTTCTTGCATTGTGTATGTACTTTCCCGTTTCGATACTTCTTATGCTGCTTACTTATATGTAATTCGTTTCTTGATAATGTTATTCCATTTATGTATGTATATTCAATCCTTTCCGTTCCGATAATCCGCAGTGAGATAATAAGTATGTATTTAATTCGTTATTCTACGCTTAATTGTCAGAAATTAGTAATGGTGGGAGTTGTACTGGCCGTCATTTTCATGGCTGTAATAATCTTCTCGTCCCGGACCATGACTTGCCGCGGCCAAAGCATTCAAGTGTGCTGCACGGGCATGTTGCACTTCCGGTGGCTCGATTGGTACGCCATTGTGAATGATTGGGATGTGGANCAATTTTCTTGCATTGTGTATATACTTTCCCGTTTCGATACTTCTTATACTGCTTACTTATATGTAATTCGTTTCTTGATAATGTTATTCCATTTATGTATGTATGTATATTCAATCCTTTCCGTTCCGATAATCCGCAGTGAGATAATAAGTATGTATGTGTTTAATTCGTTATTCTACGCGTAATTGTCAGAAATTAGTAATGGTGGGAGTTGTACTGGCCGTCATTTTCATGGCTGTAATAATCTTCTCGTCCCGGACCGTGACTTGCCGCGGCCAAAGCATTCAAGTGTGCTGCACGGGCATGTTGCACTTCCGGTGGCTCGATTGGTACGCCATTGTGAATGATTGGGATGTGGATAGGTCCTGGATGTTTGTAGCTGCCCGCATAACCACCGTCATATGGGCCATCCCATCGCCCGTCGTAGTGACGGCCTTCGTCGTGTGAACCACCATGACCCGCTCGTGCTGACGCTTCTACGACAGCGGCATAATGCGCTGCCTTAGCATGTTGCACTTCTGGCGTTTCTACCGGCACCCCATTGTGAATCACAGGAATGTGGTAACCATGTGCAGGTACTGCGTGACCAATAGAATGACCTGCTCGAGCAGCAGCGTGTGCAGAATAATGCGCAGCTTTAGCATGAGCAACTTCTGGTGTGTCTACGGGCGCACCATGGGCATGTGCCGAATGACCTAAAGCTCTAGCATGCGCGGCAAAATGTTCAGCCTTGGCAGCCTGTACATCAGGAGTATCCACAGGGACTCCACCATGAGTCAACGGAATGTGGGACAAAGCGTTTTGGTGCGCATAGTTCCAAGAATGTCCGTATAGTGAACGCTTATACAAATGNTTGACGGCCTTCGTCGTGTGAACCACCATGACCCGCTCGTGCTGACGCTTCTACAACCGCGGCATAATGCGCTGCCTTAGCTTGTTGCACTTCTGGCGTTTCTACCGGCACCCCATTGTGAATCACAGGAATGTGGTAACCATGTCCAGGTACTGCGTGACCAATAGAATGACCTGCACGAGCAGCAGCGTGTGCAGAATAATGCGCAGCTTTAGCATGAGCAACTTCTGGTGTGTCTACGGGCGCACCATGGGCATGTGTCGAATGACCTAAAGCTCTAGCATGCGCGGCAAAATGTTCAGCCTTGGCAGCCTGTACATCAGGAGTATCCACAGGGACTCCACCATGAGTCAACGGAATGTGGGACAAAGCGTTTTGGTGCGCATAGTTCCAAGAATGTCCGTATAGTGAACGCTTATACAAATGATGAACGTGCGGATCATGAGGATCTGGATGCGCAGCTGCGGCGGCGGCAGCAGCAGCATATGCAGCATAATGCTCAGCGCGAGCATGTTGCACTTCTGGAGTGTCTACAGGAACTCCGTCATGAGTCAAAACCGGAATGTGTTGTGGATAATGTTGGGCGTATGGCACGTAGGAGTGAGCAGCAGCGGCGTGAATGGCGGCAAAGTGAGTATCTTGAGGTAATGGAGACTTCGGCAAATTCGTTCCGATAGCATTAAAACCATGGTGTGGATCGGCAACATATGAAAGCGACTGTATGTGTCCGCTGCCATCAACGTAAGAGTAGGAACCACGGGTCACCCCATCGTGAGAACGGGTCTCTTGCTTCTGTGAGTTGGGATCAGCATATCCATATGAGTAGGTATGTGCATGAGGGTCTAGTTGTTGAAATTGTGTTGAAACTGCACCGTGCAGGGATGCGGTGCATGAAGATACCAGCAACGCTGCTAAAATTAGCTGAAAGTATTGCAAAAGAAGATAAATTAAATGAAATGGCATTGCAATTGATTAAATATATTTATTTTTCGGAAATAAAGTTCAAACATACATAGTATATAATTGCGAACATAGTAGAGATGGGCACGGGACTAAATATTTAATCCCGATCCCGCCCATCGCGAAATTCGATTTTTAAGTCCCGAACCCGCCCATCCCGACGTTTTTCAGAATTGTACCGCGGGTCCCGTGGGTCCCGAAATCTATCTTTATAGCAGGCTACATTCGGACAACAAATTTAAACGATCAATTAAGATTTCAACGTGTGTGGCGTGGTTTGCAAACCGATCGAAGGTTAACAAAAATGTTCATGTCTTTCAAATTAATTTGAAATAATAAAAATAATAATGAAAGATCTGATATCTTCCGATTACTTTGTTTTGCTTAAAAAAAGTGCTTATTTCGAACATCGTTTTTAAGGAAGATTTTGTGAATTTTCGGGGGTTGCGGTTTTATCGGCAGTATCGGGAAAAGATTTTGGTCCCGTCTCGCCCGCCATATTTTTACAGGTCTTCCCGATACCGTCCATCCCGGCCAATTTTAAATCAGTACCGTGGGTCGCGCGGGTCCCGCTGTCCTGCGCCCATCTCTAGTACATGGTACATATGGAGTGAAAAAGGACTCCCACAGCTCGAAGGAGTGTTTTAAGAATTTTCCGAATAAGGAGTCACAAGGGAATCTCACAGCAACACCTTGAATAAGAGTTTTCGCAGCGCACCGAATGTGGGGTGAAAAGGAGATCAAGATGTTTATTTTTGTTATCTTGTTTTTCTTTTCTTCGTATTAAGTCTGAAAGATGATAATGAAATTTTGAATCAAGGGGTCGTCTCTTCCGAATCTTCCTGGAAATGACACGACTAAAAAAGCTGTTGACGTTCGGGCAGTTGCGAATGTATTTACTTACATAGATGTAAGCAATAACGCGTGGTAAATTACTTTTGGCTAACTTTAGGCACATTTAAAAGAAAATTTGCTGGTTCTGGCAAAGAATATAATAGACCGAACACGAAGTGGTGCCACAATTCAAGGAAACGTCTTTTAAGAATGCATAGATAATAAATATTATTCTGTATTAAATCATTGTATTTAATTTTAAGTTAAACAAAAAAAAAACCGAATACATATTTATATATTAGATTTTCAGCATTTTGAAAAACCGTAGAACCTTCTTTACGGTCTATTATCGGAGCACTCCCAAAACACTCCATTAACGATCAAATTACCATTTCTATGAAAAAGTTATGAACGACTTCCATATATACGGAGCACAAAGTCATTCCCATACAAAAAACTGAAGTGACTAATACATGAGCTTCGACACGGGGTATATATGTAGTATAATAAATAAAATCATAGTTTAAAAAACTAAAAAATCTTTTTTATTACAATGTGACCTTAAAAGTGCAATGGGGTATAGTTGTGTTAGGTGTGCAATTACAGTTGCACGGCTATACTCAATCCCGACTCTTGCGTCCTCGTTCGCGCACTCTGGGCAACGTGAGCAACCCATGTGCGAGATGCGGTAACCAATCCGAGTGGGGCCTTGGGTTACGGCAGAAAGAGAGGGAGCTCCGGTGTGGCCATTCCGACTTATTCGGTTTAAGGGCTCACTAAAGGCTGCAACATCTGTTCACCAATAGGTGCGGCTACAAGCGGGTGTCTGTCTTGGAGCAATGTCTGGGGCCTTGTGGCGTAAACTACAGCGGCCATATAAAGGACCGCAAATTCGGTGATGGATTTGTGGTGGGAGAGAGACTCCGAGTACTATCGTTCACCCCGGAGGACAAACGTCTAGCCATAGTTCGCATCAAAGCGAGATTTCTTCATGATACGGAAGAGACGGATGAGGTATCAAAGGAACTCTTCTATGAGCGCTTGGGGCGCACGTACGAGCGCTACGCCCGCGACGATATCAAAATCGTGCTTGGCGACTTGAGTGCCGGGGTGGGCAAGAAAGGGATCTTTGGAACCACGGTCGGAAAATTTAGCCTCCACGACGAAACGTCCGACAATGGACTGAGGCTGATTGATTTCACCGGGGCCCGAAACATGGTAGTATGCAGTACTAGGTTCAAGCATAAAAAGATTCATCAAGCTACGTGGCTGTCCCGGATCGAAAAACGAGAAACCAAATCGATCATGTTGTGATAGACGGAAGGCATGCTTCCAGTGTTTTGGACGTAAGTACACTCCGAGACCCAAACATCGACTCGGATCACTATCTTGTTGCAGCCAAGATACGCACTCGCCTCTGTGCAGCAAAAAATATGCGCCCAAATATGCAAGGAAAGCTTATCGCTATGTGAGGCCGCTATAGGGATCTGAAGAGGGAAGCGAGACGTATTTTCCGCAATAAGAAGAGAGAGACCGTAAGAACAACAATGGCGATCTAGTCACTGATGTTCAGAGCGTACTTAAATTCTGGAGGGAACACTTTTCCAGCGTCTTGAATGGTAGCAGTACGGAAAGTTGTGGAGAAGAACCCGAGCCCCCAGTCGATGATGACGGAGTCGATGTTCGAATAGTAATAGGTACGAATAGCAATAACGCGGCTGAAAAACAACAAAGCTGCTGGAGCTGACAGCCTGCCAGGTGAGCTATTCAAGTACGGTGGCGAGGAGTTGATAAGGTGCATGCATCAACTCTTATGCAGAATATGGTCAGATAAACGCTTGACCGACGACTGGAATTGAAGTGTAATCTGCCCAATCCACAAGAAAGGCGCCACCGCCATTCGCGGCAACTACCGCGGGAGCAGCCTTCTAAGCATAGGTTACAAGGTGAAAGACTTAAGCCGGTGGTCAATGAACCGATTGGGCCTTATCAGTGTGGCTTTAGGCCTGGAAAATCCACCATAAACCAGGTATTCACAATTCGTCAAATCTGGGAAAAGACCCGCAAAAAAAACCAACACTCAAATCCTATTTGTCGACTTTAAAGCCGGTTTCGACAGCACTAAAAGGAGTTGCCTATACGCTGCTATGTCTGAATTTGGCGTCCCCACCAAACTGATACGGCTGTGTAAAATGTCGTTGAGCAATACCACCAGCTCCATCTGAATAGGGAAAGACCTGTCCCAGCCGTTCGCCACCAGACAGGGCGACCCCTATCATGTGACTTCTTTAATCTGATGCTGGAGAGTATAATAAGGGCTGCAGAACTAAACTGCTCAGGAACAATTTACTACAAGAGCGTGCAATTGCTGGCCTTTGCCGATGACATCGATATCATCGGTAACAAAGACCGCGAAGTCTGTTCTGCCCTTTGCAAGTTGGATAAGGAAGCAAAGCGAATGGGTCTGGTGGTAAACGAGGACAAGACGAAGTATCTCCTGTCATCAAACAAACAGTCAGCACATTCGCGCCTTGACACCCACGTCACTATTCACACTTATAATTTCGATAGAGTAGAGAATTTCGTTTACTTGGGAACCAGCATTACCACCGATAATAATGTCAGCATGGGAATCCAACAGTTGCAATGGTCGTAAAACAAGTTTAACTATACTCACGTATTTGTGTTCGTACGTCCTACTGTAATTTACAATGATTTATATTTTTCGAGATCAACAAATAAAAATAAAAAATAATTATTAATATTTGAGTTTCAATTTTTCGCTCAAAGGTAATTATTATTACTTGATTTTTATTTTTTCGATCAATAATAATGATTATTTTGTGATTCTTATTTTTTCGCTCAAAGATATTAATTATTACTGAGTTTTATTTTTTCACTTAAGAATAACGGTCATTAAAAAACTAAAACGCTACACCAGCGTAATTTCTATTATCCGTTTCAGAGGTAGTGACACCCTAATAAAAGGAATAAGTCCCAAAATTTCCAGGTCAAAATTTCAGTAAGTTGCGTTTGTATGGCCTTTTCAGTTTTAAAAATAATCATTATATTTAAGTGGAAAAATAAAACTCAATAATAATTATTATCTCTGAACGATAAAATCATCATAATCATAATCATTTCCGTTAAGCGAAAAAATATAAATCAATAATAATTATTATTATTGAGCGAAAATATTAAAATCATAAAATAATGATTAAATGCCGATTTAAATTATTTTACTCATAATCAGGCGTGGGCAGAGAACGAGCACACGCTCAAAGAGACCAAAACGTGAGCAAGAATGGAAGAAGAAGAAAAAGTGTTGCAAGGAAACGGTAACAAGTTACACAAGTGTGACGTCATACAAACAACGATTTTGTCAAATTCACTGAGAGAGGAATAGCGGTACCGTGATGGGCGCAACCCCTATTTCTCTCAATCGTGGTGTGTACGTGTACAAGCAAGAGCGTAAGGATGAGAACGCGACAGCATGTAAAATGACCCTGCAGCAATAAAGCGGCCAATTTTCCGTTAAGGACTAGTACTTCACTGGCTAAAATTTGACTGGTCAGAATTGGACATTTTCTTGCATCGAAAATGACAGCCTTCGACCAGTCCCCAAGCAACCGGCCTGAAGATAGACGAAAAGTACAGTTTGGCAGTGACAGGGTGGTGTTGTCTTGCAATTCAATAAAAAAAAATGTAAAGAACACCACACTGTAAATGTCCCAATCGCTTGGTCTGGCCTTGATGCAAAGTGAACATTTGAACACACATTTACATGCGTGGCTGTAGCTCAGTGCACAGAGACGCTTGCCACTATTTGTTAGCTTTCAGGAGGGTCCGGGTTCAAATGCCGTCAGAAGCAACAAGGTTATAAAATGATAAAATTTATTTTTTTTTTGTGTTTCCGAATTATGAAAAAGCATCTGCGAAGTGCAGAACGCAATCTTACTCCGACGAAAAAAATCTCCAAAATTGGACTAGTCCAGGACTATCTTACGGCCAGTGTTGATTAGACCGGTCCTTTTCCAATGATACGCTAATGCTAAAAATGGCAGTTGAAACCATTGGCAGGGGAATTATGAGGGACTAGTACTCGTAACAATAGGGACTATCTGAGGGCTAACTTAGGGTGAGTCTGAATTGCTGCAGAGGAATTAGGCACACTAACACATTCTCACTTTTAGCTAACGCTTGCTTGTGGTAGTGCCCACCTCTGCTCATAGTGATTAC